TAATTATATATATATATATATATATATATATGTGTGTGTGTGTGTGTGTGTGTGTGTGTGTGTGTGTGTGTATGCAAATATGATATCAATTGATGATTAGTAGGGTTAATTCAAAGGAAGATATAAATCTAAAGAGAGCTCAATGTAAGAACAGAGTAATATAATAATGAATACAGTTTCCTAATTCTGTATTCATTACATAATATATATATATATATATATATATATATATATATATATATATATATATATACAGTGGAACCGCGGTTCATGAATTTAATTCGTTCCTGAAGGCCGTTCGTAACCAGAAATGTTTGTAAAGTGAAACTATTTTTCCAACAGAAATCAATGTAGGGAAAAAAGGTCACAGTACAATAAAATTGGAAAGAAAAAAAAATCACGCCACAACACAAAATGTATACAACACAGAGGTCGACTCAGAAATGATTCCGTTCGGGTTAACTTGGTTCGGCTATGTTGTTCGAGAACCGAAATTTTGTTCGATATCGGAGATATTTTCATCTCGAATTTTCTGTTCGAAAACCAATTTGTACGACAGGTGAGACGTTCGAGGACCGAGGTTGTACTATATATATATATATATATATATATATATATATATATATATGTATGTATATTATTTACATTATTCGGACTATTGTCCTCATCTTTGTCGCCATATTTATCACAACGTTTCGGCCGTTGCACGCTCCGGCCTTCTTCAGGTTGTTGGAATGTCGAACAGAACCCTTTATTTCGCTCACCGGGGTAGACTGTTCTAGTTCCACGTGCCATGTTTGATGGATGTCAGTTATCAGTTATCTCCTGTTAATTGCCTTCTGAAAGTTCTCCACTCCCTTAATCGGGTATTGAACTCACACTGTTTGGGTCCTGTCACTGGATCTAACCAACGCCTTTATCCTCTGTGCTATGTGTCCTCAATGACACATGGCACAGTGGCACATGGCAAACACATGGCACAGCTACCCCGGTGAGCGAAATAAAGGGTTCAGTTCGACATTCCAACCATCTGAAGAAGGCCGGAACGTACAACGGCCGAAATGTTGTAATAAATATGGCGACAAAGATGAGGACAATAGTCCGAATAATGTAAATAATGTACATAATACCTCATCTCAGAAATATAGACATATATATATATATATATATATATATATATATATATATATATATAGAGAGAGAGAGAGAGAGAGAGATAAGTGTGAGAGTTCATATTTTGCTATATACATACATTTTCTGTTATTATTTTTTAAAATTAAATCAATCAGACACAAATCAGCTTCTCCTAATTGTATATCAGTTATATATTTATATTTGGTACTCTATCGTTTTTATAATCCAAGATACTTGCATTTAAAATGTGTCCCATCATTATGGGACACCCTTTATATTGGAAAAGGTGTTTAGGTTTAATTTATACAACGTACCTTTCATTTTAACATTTCATTTCCTTCTGAGCATGCAGGTGTTTTTCCTCGTTTGTGTTCATACTGACGCGAAAGAGCATCGGAGACGCCATGTGGAGTTTCATTCTCCGGTCGGTGAGAAGCTAGGAGTGGAAGTCGTTATACATTTACAACAGTAGGTAGTATAAAACAATAAAATCCATTTTCCAGAATTATGAGGGATCGGTGGACAAAGAACAGACGAAAAAGGTAACTGGGTAACGATAGCAAGGAAAAGCGAAACTTGTCAGCACGCAAAATGAAATCGCCAAGACGAGTTCGAAATTTTTATATATATATATATATATATATATATATATATATATATATATATATATATATAAACACCCTGGGAAAGGAATGGACCCATTTCTTCTCCCCGGCTAGCAAAGCATTTTGTAGACAGGCAGAAGGCGATTAAATCTCTATTTGCAAGTCGTGTGCGAACTCAGATGCGAGTGAATACCGCCGTTGGTTGATATTCGTAAACTGCTATGTCACCGACGAGGAAGATGGATAGGGTATTTAGTGCAGGTTAGGAGAATGTACGAAATTTATGGGCTTAAATAAGGAACAGAAAAGATGTTAGTATATAACGGATATATTAATGCCTAACATGGGCCTTAGAGAGTGGAGATAAACCGAAAAACTTTGCTCTTGTGAAAGTCATGAATTCATTTCCTCCTCAAGCTATAGTTAAATAGTTGAGTAGACTGAGTTCTTATACCTTGGTAAGGCAACTCGTCTAGAAAAAAACAACCCTGAATAGAAAACCGTGAAAGTGTAGAGACATTAATTATTCTCATTAAATGAACTGAGAATGGAAGAAATAATACTGAATCGGCCAGGACTTCTCAAAGAACTTGTTGGCGGCACATTTCTTTGATTAATCTGAACCAAAATATTTTCATCTGAGATGAATATGGGCTGAGAGCTTTTCCGGTCATAAATGGCCTTCATTTGTGAACTGAGGTCCAACTATATATATATATATATATATATATATATATATATATATATATATATATATATATATATATATGTATGTGTGTGTGTGTGTAATGGAACCTCACAAATGAAGGCTGTTTATAACCTGAAATGTTCGTATACCGAAACTATTTTCCACATAAGAATCAATATAAAGTGGATTAATCCGTTCTTGGACCCTAGATGATAGCCTTCATTTGTGAACCGAGGTTCAACTATATATATATATATATATATATATATATATATATATATATATATGTGTGTGTGTGTGTGTGTGTGTGTGTGTGTGTGTGTGTGTGTGTGCGCGCGCGTGTGTGTGTGTGTGTGTGTAATGGAACCTCACTTCAAAATGACGGCCGTTTATAACCTGAAATGTTCGTATACCGAAAGTATTTTCCACATAGGAATCAATATAAAGTGAATTAATCCGTTCTTGGACCCAGATGAGGGCTTAATTAAAATTTTATGACAGTACTCTCATACAAAAAATAACAAAAAAAAAATCAATGAAAATCGTTAAATCTAGTACAAACAAAACCCCATAGCATCATTACATATGACTTAAATACGTTACCATGACATGCAGTCGCAAAGGCCCCATCCTTCGTCTTCGTTTTTATCGGATTCAACTTAAAACTATAACACCTTAAAATGTACCACTTAAAACAATTTTGGTTTTTGTTCACCTTACCTTACTTGTACACAATCATGTGAGGCGAAACTTTGGACATTTTATGCATCTATAGCATCCAGATTTGAGGTATATTATCCGGAATTTAGAAAAAGACGATGGTTAAATTTGATAGACATAAAATGCCTATATTCTTTGTTAAAACATGTTTAAATAACGTTTGCTACCTAATTCCATCAAAATGGTAACGGCGGATCTAAGGAACGAAAGATAAAAAAAAAATACAGAGAAAAAAAAGGAATGAATTAACGAATAAAATAGTTAGACATGGATTTTAAAAAAATAGACGTTAAAAAATTGCGAAACAATTGAGTGTAAATGGACAAGGGCCGCAAGAACGAATGACCAGAAGAAACGAAGGAAGAAAGAAAGAAAAGCTGCTTGATTGTTTTTATCGTCTGCTTACGCAAATCTATCAGGAAGCTAATATGCCATGTCGTGTGAGTGAGCAGTTCCATCAGCAAATCCACCTTTTAATAACACGTTTTCTATTATTTAACACGCTTTTGTGTCGTTCCGACATCGAGTAAAAATTTTCATTGCATGCTTCAGTCTTTTGTCATTGGACGAAGCACTTTATTACTGGACTGAGTAGGTCTATCAATGATCCAGGCAGCACATTTTATACCAAACATTTGTATTTTGGAACGCCGAAGTATTCCATAATTTTATAGAAATCTTGTGCAAAGTGATCATAAAACACCTCGACATATTTATTACGCGCTGGCGCAGGTCCATCAATGATACAGGTAGCATTTTTATACTGAGCATTTGAAATTGGAACATCATTCCACTCAGCCATTTTATAGAGCGCTTGCCTGACTCAATGACTACACCAGGTATATTTACCCGGCTTCCTCACTAAGGCCGGATCCCACACAAAGTCGTTTTGACGTGGAGAACGGCATTCACATATGTATGCCTATAGGCCAAGGACAAAAATTTCTACCGAGTCGACAACTGCCACACCGGTGTCGATATTATACTAACCTCAAATCTCTTAGTAAAATGGTACTACCAAAAGGTACTACCAAAAGGTTAGAACCCTCGTGACCGACCGCCTTTTCCCATCTATTACCGTTTATTCTACTTCCGGGCAAAAGCAAACTCCTGTGCGGTTTGTAAAAATATCCACTAGTGATTCACACAGCATTTTATACGGAAATCGAACACCAGACCATTACACTATTTTAGAAGGTTTCGGTCGCATCACGATGAAACATCGATTCCCGTAAGATCATACTAAGCAACGTCAAGCCTGGTCAGTACCTAGATGGGTGACCGTTTGGGGGTTACCAGATGCTTTAAGTTTGGATGTGAGGGTGGTGTAATAGCTAATGACTCGGAATTGTTAATCGGAGAGTCAGTTTCCAATTCCCGCTGGGTTCGTTATATTCATTTACGCGCGAATACTCTTGGGAAAGGTATGAGTCCACCTCTTCTCCCCACTAGCTATGGATTAATTAGTAAGACTTGTATCACTAAATAATTATTATCTACAAAAAAATCTTAGGATCTAAAAAATATTTTCTGGCTTTAAATAACCTGTAAAGGTTTGATAATTGAATCAATCAATCAAAAATCCACCATTTTATTGAGCACGTTTTTTTCTTGATCATTGAACTAGCCAAGTATATTTCATACGCGTTTGAGCAGGTCCATTATTGATCCTGACAGCATTTCTATACCGAGCATTTGCAATTGAATCACCGAGTAAATCTTGAATTTTATTTAGCCCTTATGTAAATTGAAAATAAAACCAGCTCCACATATTTATTACACGCTTGCGTAGATTTATCATCGTCGATCACGCCACTTTAGCATGAGCATACGCAGATCAGTCAGCGAATCACTTATCATGTAAAGGCACAAAAGGTAACGAAGAAAGAAACGGAAAAGGAATAAAGAAAAAAGTAAGAAAGAAGAAAATAAAGTAATAAAAAGAAAGGGGAGAAAAAAGGCAAACCAGGTATAAAAGCGAATGAAAAAGGCACAGAAAGAAAGAAAGAAAGAAAGAAAGAAAGAAAGAAAGAAAGAAAGAAAGAAAGAAAAGAAAAGAAAGAAAGAAAGGAAGAATAAGAAATGAAAAGGGCACAAAAGTAACGAAGAAAGTAAGAAAGAAAGAAAATAAAAAGGGAATGAAAAGGCTAAAAAGGAATAACGAAGAAAGTAAGAAACAATATTGAAAGAAAGAAAGAACTCTTGGAAGTATAAAAACACAAAGAAACACTAATAATTAATGACAACAGAAAGCAAAGAAAGAAAGAAAGAAAGCAAAGAAAGAAAGAAAGAAAGAAAGAAAGAAAGAAAGAAAGAAAGAAAGAAAAGGTAACTCTTACAAAGAAAAAAAAAAACAAAAAGAAAAGAATAATTAATGACAACAGAAAGAAAAAGAAAAAGAAAAAAAGAAAAGAAAACTAATAATTACAAAAGAAAGAAAAGAGAAAGAAAGAAAAGAAAGAAAGAAAGAAAAGAAAGAAAAAAGGTAACTCTTGGAAGTATAAAAACACAAAGAAACACTAATAATTAATGACAACAAAGCAAAGAAAGAAAGAAAAAAGAAAGAAAGAAAGAAAGAAAGAAAGAAAAGGTAACTCTTGGAAGTATAAAACAAAAGAAACACTAATAATTAATGACAACATAAAAAGCAAAGAAAGAAAGAAAGAAAGAAAGAAAGAAAGAAAGAAAGAAAAAGGTAACTCTTGGAAGTATAAAACACAAAGAAACACTAATAATTAATGACAACAGAAAAGCAAAGAAAGAAAGAAAGAAAAAGAAAGAAAGAAAGAAAGAAAAGAAAGAAAAAAAAGGTAACTCTTGGAAGTATAAAAACACAAAGAAACACTAATAATTAATGACAACAGAAAGCAAAAAAGAAAAAAGAAAGAAAGAAAAGAAAGAAAAAAGAAAGAAAGAAAGAAAAAAGAAAAAGGTAACTCTTGGAAGTATAAAAACACAAAGAAACACTAATAATTAATGACAACAGAAAGCAAAAAAGAAAGAAAGAAAGAAAAAAGAAAGAAAAAGAAAGAAAAGAAAGAAAAGGTAACTCTTGGAAGTATAAAAACACAAAAAACACTAATAATTAATGACAACAAGAAAGCAAAAAAGAAAGAAAGAAAGAAAGAAAGAAAGAAAAAAGAAAAGGTAACTTGGCAAAAGCAAAAAATGACAACAGAAAGAAAGCAAAGAAAGAAAGAAAGAAAAGAAAAAGAAAGAAAGAAAGAAAGAAAAGGTAACTCTTGGAAGTATAAAAACACAAAGAAACACTAATAATTAATGACAACAGAAAGCAAAAAGAAAGAAAGAAAGAAAGAAAGAAAGAAAGAAAGAAAGAAAGAAAAGGTAACTCTTGGAAGTATAAAAACACAAAGAAACACTAATAATTAATGACAACAGAAAGCAAAGAAAGAAAGAAAGAAAGAAAGAAAGAAAGAAAGAAAGAAAGAAAGAAAAGGTAACTCTTGGAAGTATAAAAACACAAAGAAACACTAATAATTAATGACAAAGTATAAAACAAAAGAAAAGAAAAAATGAAAAGAAAAAGAAGAAAGAAAAAGAAAGAAAGAAAGAAAGAAAGAAAAGGTAACTCTTGGAAGTATAAAAATAGAAAGTAATACTAAAAAAAGAATGAAAACAGAAAGCAAACCTTAGAAAGAAACAAATGAAAAGAAAAGCAAGTATAGAAAAAAAGAAAAGTAACCTAATAAGGAAAAACACAAAAGAAACACTTAAATCTGAATGCAAAGATTAGAAAGAAAGAAAGAAAGAAAGAAAGAAAGAAAGAAAGAAAGAAAGAAGGAAGGAAGGAAAGTAGGGAGGAAATAAAAGGTAACCCTTGAAAGTATGGAAGAAGAAAGAAAGTAACCCTAATAAAGAATGAAAGGAGAATGCGAAACTTAAAAAGAAAGAAAGAAAGAATGAAAGAAAGAATAAAGACGTAAAAGGTAACCCTTGTAAGTACAAAACAGAATGTACTCCTAATAAAGAATGAAAAGAGAAAGCAAAGCTTTGAAAGAAACAAAAGAAAAAAAGAAAAAAAGAAAGAAATAGTAACGTTGACAAGCATAGAAAAAGAAAGTAGCTTTAATAAAGAATGAAAACAGGATGTAAAGAAAGAAAGAAAGAAAGAAAGAAAGAAAGAAAGAATAGATAACAATGGGAAGCATAAAAACAGAAAGTAATTCTAATAAAGGTATAAAACAGAATGCTAAACTAAGAATGAAAGGAAGTTAAAGAAAGAAAGGAAGAAGAAAATAAATGGCAACGCTTTGAAGTATAGAAAAATAAAATAACCCTAATAAAGAATGAAAAAAGGATACAAAGCGTAGAAAGAAAGAAAGAAATAACAAAGACGTGGAAGTATAAAAAATATTACTAGTAAAGAATGAGAACAGTATTCAAATCTTAGAAAGAAAAGGAAATAAAGAAGGAAATCAAGGGGTACGCTTCGAAGTAATGTAAAAGAAAGTAACTCTAATAAAAAATGACAAAAAGTTAAAAAAAAGAAAGAAAGAATAAAGAAAGAAAGAATAAAGGAAAAAAAGAAAGAATTACATAAAAGAACATGCTTGGAACTATAGAAAATAAAAGTAACTCTAATAAAGAATGAAAACAGAATCCAAAGTTAAGAAAGAAAGAACGAAAGAAAGAAAGGAAATAAAACGCAACGCTTGGAATTATAGAAAAAAGAAAGAAGCCCTATTATTTTCTTTTAATGGAAGTATACAAACAGAAAGTAACACTAATAAAGAATGAAAACAGAAAGCAAAGCTTAGAAAGAAAGAAAGAAAGAAAGAAAGAAAGAAAGAAAGAAAGAAAGAGTAACCCTTGGAAGTATAAAGACAGAACGTAACCCTAATAAAGAATGAAAACAGAATGCGAAGCTTACAAAGAAAGAAAGAAAGAAAGAAAGAAAGAAAGAAAGAAAGAAAGAAAGAAAAATAATGAAAGGACAAAGAATATAAGAGGTAACGCTTGGAAGTATAGAAAATGAAATAACCCTAATAAATAATGAAAACAATGCAAAGGTAAGAAATAAATAAGTAAACAGGTAACGCTTGGAATTATAGAAGTTAAATAAGTCATATAAAGAATGAAAACATACAGCAAAGTTTAAAATGAAAGAATGAAGGAAAGAATAAAGAAAGAAAAGGTAAACCTTGTAAATATAAAAACAGAATGAAACAAAAAGCAAAGCTTAGAAAGAAACGAAAGAAAGAAAGAAAGATGAAAGAAAAGGTAAGGGTAGTAAAGGAAGTAAAAAAAAGAAAAAAGAAAGGAAGGAAATAATGATAATATTTGGAATATAGAAAGAAAGAACGAAAGAAAGAAATGAAAGGTAACGCTTGGATGTATAGAAAACGTGTAAAATAGCTTTACATGGCTAATGTCTTTCTTTTTCTATCTAATTTTTAAAAAATTCTTAGTCATTATCATTAAATTCATAACATAATTCGTATGTTTTCTTATGAAAACATTTTATCTACAAATGTAAAATGTAAATGTAACCCTTAGTAGCTCTATTCTTAAACATAAAGATAATAAAATACGTAATATTTAATTTTTTTTATAGTTTTACTGTTTGTTATTTAATCAAAAATGACTACGACTAATTGACTAAAGTTGTTTGTTTTTGACCAAATAAAACTTACAAAATGAAAGTGACTAAAAGACTTTGTAAACTGCCAGCTACCTATTACCAAAAAGACAATGACCAACCATCCCGTTATTGAACAACATGAAAAAAATTTCTTGCATTATTTACATTACTCGAACTGTTATCCTCATCTTCATTGCCATACTCACAACGTTTCGGCTGTTGTACGCTCCGGCCTTCTTCCTTGCCTTGAATATGGCAATGAAGATGAGGATAACAGTCCGAGTAATATAAATAATGCAAATAATCATAATACCTTATCTCAGAGATATAGACAGATAATGAAAAGATTTATCAATAAAATTCTGTCAGACGATCCCCCCATCACCACCACCACTCCTAAAAAAAATTGTGCAACTTAAAAGATCATCCCCACTTTTTTGAGTTACAAGACAAGAGGGTTTGGAGAGGACTGGTAAGAAATATTTAAATTTATCAAAAAAACAGCTTTGGTATATATGATATATAATTCTATTATTACGAAATGAGTTGGTGCTGAAATTATCTATATGTCTAACTATTGTTTCTTTCATTTGATAGTAATTGTAACTATATTTACTTGAAATCCGTTAGCCTCTTCGCCATCTGTCATTGTACCAAAAAAAAGAAAAAAGAAAAAAAAGAAAAAGAAAGTTTAAATTCGCATTTATTATCATTAACCTCTCACCACCAGCAACTTTATTTTCGTAATTTGGATTAATCCAACCGAATTTTGCATGTGTTAATGACTGGTTCAAGTTTTAAATAAAATAAATTGAGATTTATTTTTATTTTAATATATTTTCATTTAATTCTGATATTAGTTATTTAATTAGTAAGCCTAATAAAGAATGAAAGCTGAAGGCATAGCTTAGAAATAAATAAATAAAGAAAGAAAGAAAGAAAGAAAGGGTAACCCTTGGAAGTATGAAAAAAAAAGAAAGTAACGCTAACGAAGAATGAAAACAATGTAAAAGAATTGTTAGAAAGAAAGAAAGAAAGAAAGAAAGAAAGAAAGAAAAAGTAACACTTGGAAGTATAGAAAAAGAAAGTAACCTTAATAAAGAATGAAAACATATTGCAAATCTTAGAAAGAGAGAAGAAAGAAAGAAAGAAAGAAAGAAAGAAAGAAAGAAAGAAAGAAAGAAAGAAAAAAATGGTAACGCTTACAAGTATAGAAATTAACTCTAGTAAAGAATGACAACAGAATGCAATGCTTAGAAAGAAAGAAAGAAAGAAAGAAAGAAAGAAAGAAAGAAAGAAAGAAAGAAAGAAAGGAAAAATAAAATAAAATGTAACGCTTGGAAGTACTGAAAAAGAAAGTAACCTTATTAATGAATGAAAGCAGAACGAAAAGCTTAGAAAGAAAGAAAGAAAGAAAGAAAGAAAGAAAGAAAAGATAACGCCTCTAAGTAATCTAAAAGAAAGTAACTCTAATAACGAATGAAAATAGAAAGAAAGAAAAAAGAAAAAGAAAGAAAGAAGAAGAAAGGAAAATAGAAATAAAATGAAACGCTTAAAAGTAATGAAAAGTTAACTATAATAAAGAATATAAACAGAATGCAAGGTTTAGAAAGAAAGAAAGAAAGAAAGAAAAAAAAAAAAAGAAAGAAAGAAAGAAAGAAAGAAAGAAAAAAGAAAGAAAGAAAGAAAGAAAGAAAAAAAAGAAAGAAAGAAAAAGGTATCACTTGGAAGTATAGAAAAAAGAAGTAACGTAGATAAAGAATAAAGACAGAAAGGAAAGCTGAAAAAGAAAGAAAGAAAGACCGAAAGAAAGAAAGAAAAGTTAACAATTGAAAGTATTCGAAAAAGGAAGTAATCCTAATAAAGAATAAAATAAAAAAGAAAGCTAAGATAGAAACAACTGAAGAAGAAATGAAGGAAAATTATAAAAATGACAATAAAAGACAAAATGTTAGCAAAAAGAAGTTAAAGAAAAAGATGATACGAAACGTCTCACTCGCTCTTATTTTCTTTCTCTCTCTCTTTTACTCTCTCTCTCTCTCATTTATTTCTCACTATCTTGTTATTTGACGACTGGTGATGCCACACATGACCATAAGAAAGACTGACGCCTGCTTTGTCGACATGACAACATGTAATGACCACATTCGTCATCTGTCACCATGACAGCGACTGCGACAAGGAAAGCAACACTGCTTTCTGTTATCGTTTGATAAATGTTTCTTCCGTTAAAAAGAAACAAGAAGAAGCACAGTAGTTGGGGCTGAAACACAGGAGAGAGAAAAGATAGGGGTCGTGGAGGCGGTGGTTAGGATTTGGATTGTCAGTGGCGGTGGTGGACAATTCCATACAATATCCACTGACGATGGGAACAGAAAATACAAAAGGACAATTGATAGAACACATAATCTTCAAGAATGAGATAAAATGTAAAATCCGATGCTTTTAATTAAATTTTCGTTTGATGATCGTCAGAAATCTCTCTCTCTCTCTCTCTCTCTCTCTCTCTCTATATATATATATATATATATATATATATATATATATATATATATATATATATATATATATATATATATATAGATAGATATAGATATAAACAAACTGAGATACATAGATAGACAGACACACAGATACATAGATATACCTATCAACAGACTGAGACATATAGTTAGATATGAACACACCGATATAGATAGATAGATAGATAGATAGATAGATAGATAGATGAATAGATGCAAACCACCAATCTACCACTGGATGGCATGCCACTAGCCTTTATCACTGGTGGCCCACTGGATCGTCTCGGCAAATTTACCACTGGCGGCCCAAGGATGGCTACCACCAGAGGACCGCTGGCCTTGAACATAGCCTTCCAAAAATCCATAAGGAGAGGATACCTTTAAGACCCATGTTTTCAATGGTAGGGTCGTCTCAGCATAAGGTTGCTTAATGGCTTGCTAATGTGCTACAACCGGTTCGGCAACACTATAGCTCTTTCTTTATAAGGGATTCATTTTCTTTTTCAGATCGTATCCCAAATTATTCCTTTTCTGGTCAGTTCATGTGTTCATTTAACATGTTCTCTCTATTGTGTTCCTCTCATGGAAACAATATTTGTGGTGATTTTCTTTATCGCACTTATTTGCCTCCCGCTGATGGTCCTGAAAAAGTTTTCTTAGAATTAATGAAATTTGCCACCTTTATCTGTTGACTTCAGTTTTGACAACATTATGTATCGAGAGATCGACGGTATTGCTATGGGTTCCCCTTTGTACCCTGCATTCGGCAAATATATTTGTTGGCTTTCGTGAGGAGAGACTATTTTGTAGTTCACTATGCGCACCATTGTATTGTCGGTATGTTTGATGATACATTTTCTTTATTCAATAATAAAACTTTCTGTCCTCTCTCAATAGTCTTCATCTAGCTCTGAGGTTTACTTTTGAGAAAGAGTCTAATTCTCAACTTGTATCTTTAGATGTATTGATGTATCGTACTCCAACACCATTTCTGACAATAATATATAGGAAGTCCACTTTCTTCGGGGTTGCACACACGTTGGGATTCCATTTACTCGAAGAAGCGAAAGATAAACCTCTTTAAAACTCTGACTCAGAGAGCATTAATGATCTGTCGTAAGCAGTTCCTGGACAGTGAGATCGATTTCCTAACGATGACTTTATGTGGCAATGGGTATCCGCCCACTTTTGTTAATTCCGTCATTCGCAACAAACTCGCTGATATCAGAAAAGTTACGCCTGTTACTGTGGCAAGATTTCCTATTTATTTACAACTTCTTTGGATTGGAGTTAACTGTGAAAACCTATCCAGGCAAATTTCTTCGTATCTTCGTAAGTGGTATTATTTTTCTGCTGAGGTTCGTGTCGTATTCAAGACCAGGCCGATGATATCATCCAGTCGGAAGGACACGTTCTCCCTCCTCATCAAGTAAATTCTGTTATTTATAAATATAACTGTAATAGCGAAGTCAGCTTCAACAATTGGATGCAAGAATTAAACAGTACGTACCAAATAAAATCAGGAACCATACGCTTGATCAAAATGACCTCATCCATAATATCTACGGTTCCTCAATTTGTGGACACCTTATTAAAAAAAACAGAAAAACAGAAAGTGTGCTGTTGAATTCAGTGCTGAATAGTTTACTGTTTTATCGCATTCACACTCAATTTTTCCTCTAAAGGTACTGGAGTCTATTTATATCAAGTCCCGTAAACCTTCTCTGTGTAAACAGCGTGGTTGTTTACTTGGTCTTGGTATAATTAGTCTTTAGTATCCCCACCCCTTTTTTTCTTTTGTCCTCTCATCAATTAATCATTCACAATTTTAAATTTGTTATATTTTACTTTGCACATTCACGATTAAAAAAAATTGTAAGAGCGGGAGTGAAACTGGTTGTTTTTCCTCTTTTAATTTTCACTATGCCTAGTAATATTAAGTTGAATGTTTTTTAAAAGCAATATATATATATATATATATATATATAAGCAAGTGTAAATGGATATAAATCCGACAGAATGAAGAAATTTTGAAAAAACAAACAAAAATCCTAAATGTAGTTAAATGAAAGAAATGCAGACGTCGACATTTCTTTCATTTAACTACATTTAAGGATTTTTTTGTTGTTTTTTTAATATTTCTTCATATATATATATATATATATATATATATATATATATATATATATATCAGGTTTAACAACAAAACTGTCCAAATCGTGCAACAGCAAAATTGTCCAATTGTTAGAATAAGCTTTGAACCGTTGTATCTTAGAAATGATTAAAGATATCTTACTGGAATTCTCCTAGGTTTTATAACACTATTGAACTCTATTTTAAACAATAAGTATGTATTTAGCTCAATGTTGAAATGATGATCTCTCTTGCTGTTTTGACCTCCTGATCTAGTTTTCCTTTTTACTGATCCTTTTTTTTTTTAACTTAGTCACTGTTCTCTTGATGCTTCTTGAATGGGTCTTGAAGATGGAAACCAGAGTATGAATGTTCGTACCATTACTGAAGGCCTGAATGATCTTTTTCCTCTTGCCATTGCTCAGTTGTGAAGACATAGTGGGGCTGACACAAAACGAGTTTAACCTGTTCTCTTTCTTAATTACTCAAAAGGTTTTTTTTCAGCGATTCTTACGACAAATGGTGTCAAGCTGGCTAAGCAACTTATCTGAACACTTGGAAAAAAGGAATTGAATTTGTTTAATGTTTTTTTGGTTTTTTGTTTTTTAGATTATTTTATGGAATTGACAATTATTCCATGCTATTACACGATCTGGACAATTTTGCTGTTACACCCGGTACATTTATATGGATAAACTAAGAAAATAGTTCATATTAAGTTTTAACTTAGTATAAGTTTTGCTCGCTCCAACTAAGTTAAAAATCGGGCGGAAAATTATGTAGACCTTAGCAATTGATTTAGTATAATCACTCCACTTTATGTAAGGGGAAAACGTGAGACCAAAACGAGGCTCAATTTTCTGATGGTCTAGAAAAAGAGGTACACTGTTTATCTATGTGAACCAAGATGTGTTTACAGTCTCTTTTCACTTTTCTCTTCTCCTACCTTTACTTTTTTTTTCCTTTTGCAATCTTTTTTTCTTTCTTCTCACGTATCGCTGTTTCCGCTTCCTTTTCATTTTAACCAATGCCCACCATGCAATCGTTGCCAGTGTAGTCACGTTCAACGTTTCATTACAGCGTCTGACAATGGCTGCTCGTTGCTTAAAACAAGTCTTAATTTCACTGTATAATGTGATTCCGGTCCTCCTCCTTTCCGGCTTGTTATTGTTGTTGTTCTTTTACTTCTTTGTTCTGTGCCCCTTCAGGACGTTGGCAATAATGGCTCTCCACGATTTCCTGTCCTTTGTAGATTTTAATAAATGTTGTCTTATTTGCTATCTCTCCTAAGCCCTGTCCGGTCAACCATTTACACAAACTCATTAGGTAAGTCATACTTTTCCCACTTTGCACCCCCTCTTGCATTCAATCTGTCCTGTGAGTATCACGTTTTCCAAGCCTACTTTCCTCATTATATGCCCTAGAAATTTCAACTGGCTCTTCCTGATGTTAAGTATAAGTGTCCTTTTGTTACCATTTTCTCTAAGACCTCGCCGTTGCTGACATTTTCAGTCCATGGTATTCTCAGCATCCTTCTGTAGAATCTTAATTCTGTTGCTTCAAATCTCTTCCTCATTTGCTAGGAGATTGCTCCGTATCCCTTGCCCTATACAAGTATTAATATTAAATAACAGTTCAATACACTGATATCTGCCTATATTACTGAGATGAGGTGTTATATACACTATTTACATTGCTCGGACCATCACCCTCATCTTTGTTGCCATATTTATCACAACGCTTCGGCCGTTGTACGCTCCGGCCTTCTTCAGGTGGTTGGAATGTCGAACTGAACTCTTTATTTCGCTCGCTGAGGTAGACTCTGCCATGTGCCTTTATCCACTCTGCCATGTTTCCTTGAGGACACATGGCACAGTGGATAAAGGCGTTGGTTAAATCCAGTGACAGGACCCAAAGAGTGTGAGTTCAATACCTGGTTAAGGCGGTGGAGAATCCTGAGAGGGAAATTAACAGGAGATAACTGATAACTAACATCCATTAGACATGGCACGTAGAACTAGAACAGTCTACCCCAGCGAGCGAAATAAAGTGTTCAGTTCGACATTCCAACCACCTGAAGAAGGCCGGAGCGTACAACGGCCGAAGTGTTGTGATAAATATGGCAACAAAGATGAGGATGATAGTCCGAGCAATATAAATAGAGTTCAATACTCTGCTTTGTTTCCAACGATATTTTTCCTCTTTCTTAATACTTTGCTTATCTTTTAGGAGGCATCTTTCATTATCCCTGTTTCACTGGGCTTAGAGTGGAAAGATAAGTTATATGGGACTAGCCGCTGAAAAGTCGAAACAACACAAAAACGACACGAGACGTGGTAAACTTAACAACTTTATTATTCAACCCATCCCCTGTGGATCCGTCTTTTTCCCAGCATTCACTAGTGGGACCGGAAGTGCTAACAATCATCATCATAATCATCTTTATTGATGTTGTTATAACAATCCCAAAGCGAACTTCGAATTTCAGTGTCGCACATTCCATCTTCTGTTAAATCAATTCCTTGATATTTAAATTGTCGTACTTGCTTGATTTTGGCATCTTCTATTTGTAATTTGTATTTACTCCCCCTTCCCCCAATGAGGTCAGGTTGCGACATAAGGTCGGTTTAATGTGGGGAGCCCGAGCGCGTACACCCGGGCAAGGAACAAAATTTTCCCGAGCCCCAGCAACCGTCGTGCACCGATCCTTCTCATTAGTGCAATGAGAAGGCGCGGCGTCGGCCAGCTGTTCCCCAGGGCTGGTCACCTCTCAATATAATTTTCCTCAGTTGCGACTCTGCAACTCTTTGACGGAACCGCCCCTGAGCACACTCTGCCCAAAGACAGAGAGCCGCCCCTGAGCGCACTCTGCCCAAAGAGAGAGAGCCGCCTCTGAGCGCACTCTGCTCAAAGAGAGAGAGCCGCCCCTGAGCACACTCTGCCCAAAGAGAGAGAGAGCCGCCCCTGAGAGCACTCTGCCCAAAGAGAGAGAGCCGCCCCTGAGAGCACTCTGCCCAAAGAGAGACAGCCGCGCCTGAGAGCACTCTGCCCAAAGAGAGGAGCCGCCCTGAGCACACTCTGCCCAAAGAGAGAGACAGCCGCCCCTGAGAGCACTCTGCCCAAAGAGACAGCCGCCCTGAGAGCACTCTGCCCAAAGAGAGACAGCCGCGCCTGAGAGCACTCTGCCCAAAGAGAGAGAGCCGCCCCTGAGCACACTCTGCCCAAAGAGAGAGACAGCCGCCCCTGAGAGCACTCTTCCCAAAGAGAGACAGCCGCCCCTGAGAGCACTCTTCCCAAAGAGAGACAGCCGCGCCTGAGAGCACTCTGCCCAAAGAGAGGGAGCCGCCTCTGAGCACACTCTGCCCAAAGACAGTAAGAGTAATTTACACGCTCTTCA